AGGCAGCAGAGTGTCCTGGGGGTGCTGGGGGACACGGAGCTGTCCCTGAGGCAGCAGAGTGTCCTGGGGCCAAGGAGGCCAATGGCATCCTGGGGGCAGCAGGAGGAGCATTGGCAGCAGGGCAGGGAGGGATCCTGCCCCTGTGGGCAGCCCTGGAGGCAGCTCTGGAGTGCTGTGTCCAGCTCTGGCTCCTCAGCACAGCAGGGCCAGGGAGCTCCTGGAGCGGGGCCAGCGGAGGCTGCGCAGCTGAGGAAGGGCCTGGAGCATCTGGGTGCCCAGGAAAGGCTGAGGGAGCTGGGGCTGCTCAGCCTGGAGAGGAGCCCCAGCTGAGAGGGGCCCTCAGGCCTGGCTGGCCCTGGCTGCAGGGAGGGCTCCCAGCAGGGCCCAGCCTCTGCTCCGGGGGCCCAGCAATGGCACCAGAGCCACGGGCAGGGCCTGATGGCAGCAATTCCCCCTGGCCAGGAGGCACAACTTCTTCCCTGGCCACTGCCCAGCCCTGAACACATTGGCCACAGAGGCTGTGGGCTCTCCTGCCTGGGGCTGTGGCACAGCTGTGTGCACACAATGCTGTGCCCTGTGCTCTGGGATGGCCCTGCTGGAGCAGGGAGGTGCCACCAGCTGCCCTCTGAGCTCCCTTCAGACTCACCCATCCTGGGATTCTCTACAGTTGATTCAAACTCTCATTTTAAGCCACTCCACTATTCCAGTTCAGAGGAACTGATGTGGTATCTCACCTATACAGGAGGGTACAGAGGAATTTACTTCCCAAGACAGTTCTCTTCCCTGAAGGATGGGAGAAGCTCAGGTCTCCCAAGGCAGTGGGACTTATCTGACTTTAGGCAGAGCTTTAATTGGCCATCACGTGAGAACCAAAGAATTAAATGCTCTGAGAACCACTTTGGCTGTTTTATTCCACTTGAATTTCAGGAGTGGGATTTGATGGTGCCTCAGGGTTACTTCCAATGGAGGATATGTTATGATTTCATTAAATGCTGTTCCTGGCCCAGCAAACAAGCACTCCCTGAAACTTCCATATTTAAAGAACACTCTGGTGTCTTTCTCCACCAAGTCTTCTGAATGAGAGGAGCATACACTGAATTTTCCATGAAGCCTCAGCCTATTTTCTCTACTCTTCCTGCAGCAGACAGGAAGGGGTCTCTCTGCACAGCCATAAATTAAGCAAGAGATATGGCAAATGGGACATTGATGTGCAGCCCAGAGAATATGAAAAGCTTGATTAAATTAAAGCAGTTGGAGGAAAACATTGAATGACTGCAAAAGATCCTATTGGAAGTGTCAGGGAAGACAAGTCCAATGTATCCCTCAAAAAACTCCCAAGCCAAATAGTGACTCTTTCAATCTTTTCTTCCCTGCTTTGCTCCTATTATGTGGACCATTAACTCCCACCCGTCTCTGGCTGTGCTGAGTGTGGAAAAACTGAACTATATAATTCTTAATACCTCATAACTCCTCATGGAAATGACAGAACCTGGTATAACTTTTCCTCCAAAGTTGTTTAAACCACTATTTATTTTATTGTGAAAAATCACTGTAATTCCACAAATGACCTATGTACCCCTTTCCTTAACATGCCCCATCGCCAACCATTGGTTAAATGTTCCATTTTCAGGGATTAATATTTGCCAGAATGAGAGGAGAAAGAGCTGAGTAGTCTGTGTAGTGACTAATTTAATTCACAGAACACAGAATGGTTGGTATTGGGATGGGATCCTAAGGATCATCTTGTTCCAGCTCCCCTGCCACTGACAGGGACACCTGTCACTAGACTGGGTTGATGATAGTCTTTTTATCTGTTAATTAATCATACATTAAATTATTATAAATTACTGCATTATTTGAAGTGGCAAAATTACTTCAGTCTGAGATTCCAAATAATTTGGTTTCCATTTGCCTGTGGTTGCACACAAAAAATTTGCAAATTCTTATTTTGTTTTTATGGGCTGCACGAATTATTAAACCTGTATAAAACAGGGAGAGGATAATCTTTTAAATTGAGGAGGAAAACATGATAAATTTGAACACAGCAGTGAAATAAACAGATTTCTCTGTGAAACAGACCTTTGTACAATGCTATAAAATTATTTTTTGAGATATTTGTTCTCTGCAAATATTCTGAGGAATGAATTGGCCAATTTGAAAATAAGTTGATGTAATTCTGGCAAAGGCTGTCCTTAAAAACGTATTCTTAGAAGATAAATTCTCCAGCTACACTGACCTGCCCAAGGTGTTTGCAAAGGCAAAGATTTACCAAGCTGATTTGGAGAACTCAAAACCTGATAGTATTGTGGGGTTTTTTTAAACTTTGTACTCATTCCAAAGTTTTGTTCACTGTGAAATACAGAATAGCAGAATGGTTTTGCTTAGAAGTGACCTCCAAGGTCACCAAGTCCAACTACCAACCACCACCACCCTGTTTACCCCTAACCCAATGTCCTCATTGGACGTTTGCCAATTGGAATGTGCCAATTACGAGTGGTTTTGAAAACTTCCAGGCATGGGGACCCAACAGTTGCCCAGACAGCCCCTTCCAATGCTGAAACCACCCTTTCCGTGAAGTTCTCCCTAAAATCCAATCTAAACCTCCCCTGGTGCAGGCTGAGGCTGTTTCCTCTCCTTCTGTCACTTGTTGCCTGAGAAAAGAGCTTGACTCCACCTCAGAAAAGCCTCCTTTTAGGAAATTATTCCTATTTCTAGGCAATTTCTTCTTTCAGGAAGGTAATTATATTCTAGGCAATCCTTCCTTTCAGAAAGTTATTCCTTGTTCCAGGAAGTGCAGTCCCTGTGAGCTCAGCCCATTGCCTGAACTATTTTGTTGGTGGTTCTGACGTTTGAATCTCTCAGAGCCAACATATACCTGGCCCAAAACAGAGGGAGAAAAGGGGAATATGTCCCAAATCTCTGGGAGCAAAACCAACAGGAATTTTTCCTAGCCCAGTAAAGATGTGAGGGACTCAGAAACTTTTCCAATGACTGGTTGGACCATCAACCCCAAGGTATTTCAAATTCCATGGACAACAGCAAGAAGGACGGACCAGATCTGTGGGAATCTGAGACATGCCACCCATCGTTGACTGAAGTGACAAAAACAAAGGACCAAGATTGGTTATAAACTATTTCCTACAGCATTTTCTAGCTCATAATGGCCAATTGCATGACAGCAAGTAGAGGAAATTGTCAGTGGGTTACAAAAAGAAGCCAGAAGTGCAAACCTGACCCCTGGAAGCTGCTGCTGAGGTGATGTCTGGGGGCTCTTACTGACCAAATAAAAATCCTCCCTCACTCCCTGATCCATCAATCCCAAAGCCAGGGAATTGTCTGATGTTTGGAGAGGAAATAAATTGATTACCCAATGAGTTGGTCTTTGTTTTGCTCCACGAGGGTGGGAGGGACGTTGGAGACAATCACTTGCATGTCCAGCTGATTGACCACAGAGACCTGGAAAGAAAAGAGGGAAATTTGAAGGGCACTGCCAGACACAGCCCCCTCCCCATCCAACAGCAGTGGAAAAATTCCTTTCCTGCCTCCACGCTATGACCTGATATCCAGATTTCTCCTTTTAATTCCAAATAGGAGAGCTGGGAAATCTTGCAGCCAAGCCCATAAACATCAAAGATTTAACTGGAATTGTAATTCCAGGTCCGCATCAGAATTATGGATTTTTAAGGTGAGGACAGTAAAAGCTGCTATTAGTTTAGACTCGACTTAGAGAATCCCAGATCTCCCATGGGCTATATTCAAAATTACTTCTGAGAATTTGGGTGGTTTGGATGCCAGGAAAATCCTCCCTTGGAGCCATGCAATGTGCACCAAGGGAAATGGAATTTCAGGATTATCTCCACAAAATCAATGCTACGTTAGAAAATCAGGATGGAAATTGTTCATTTACATTGAAGCTGTCAGTGAGAGGTTTTATTTTAATCTCCCATTGTTTTAGCTTCTCCTTCTATCATAAAACAGCACATTTTACAACTGAGCTTCTTTCTTAAAAAAAAAAGAAAAAGAAAAAGAAAAGAAAAAACAAGCAGGAAAAAATGCTTCTAATCCACTCAATACTTGTGTGCTTCGTTGGAATAAAATTAAATTTCAATTTTCCACCGAGGTATGGAGTGACCTCAGAGCAAATATCTGGCAATTATTGATTTTACTATGAACCCAACATCACTCTAATCCTGTAGAGGATTCTAGAGGAAAATTTGGAAAACTAGGCCAATGTTAAAGATGATAAATTTAAAAATCAAGGGTTAGTTGATTCTAAAAGAAATAAACAAGCCCTGATTTTCCAAAGAGGAGCCCTGGAAGCACAGCAGCAGAAAAGCCTGAATGTGCTTCCACATCAAACACTGATTCACCAGCTTTGAAGCTTAATTCAACTTTAAATATTTAAATGTTCTTGAAATGTCATCAGATGCCCTGATCAGCACGTACAGGCTTCTGTGTAAGAAACACAGAATTATAATGAGCTCCAAATAAATTTTAGACTAAAATCATACAACGGAACTGGAAAGCAATGATTAATTTAATAGAATTAATTACATTAGCCAATTCAAGCAACCACAGTGCACCCAGGAACTGAAAACAGAGTAAAGGCAACACCAAAAACAAAGGCAGTAATTCTTTTAATATGGAAGAAATCACAATTATCATCACTTGTTCATGTACAAAACCAGGGATAAACACACATTCATGACAAGCTATAGGAAACCAAGGGTGTTGGACAAAAATCAAGTGACATTTGAGGTTTCCATGGTAACATTAACTTGCTTGTTATCCCCATTTGTAAAGGCAGCGAAAGCAGAAAATTGTTGGTAACCTCTAGCCCATGAATGATATCCCTTTGATCCTAAGCTTTGCTCATTAGGCACTTCCCAAGTTTTAAATCCAGCAAGGCAGAGCCTACAAAGAGTCTTGATTGTGATATAGCACCAATGGACTCCTGGGAATAGCTGGGACCTGAATGAGGAGGGACCTTAAAACCTCCTCAAACCCCAATAAACCTTTGATTAAAGATGATATCCTTGATTTCAAATAGTGATAATGAATATCCACTACCTACACTTCCTCAGCACCTTTTGGTGCTTCCTTGCAGCAAACTCATTTTAAAATGTAATTCTTGTATCTCTTTCATCTCACAAATGCTGAGAAGGAAAACTCCATCACAGGGAAGCAAACTGTCAACACACAGGTGTCTGACTTGAGCCATCCTGGTGTCCTTCCCATGGATTGTCTCCACCAGCATGAAGACCTTTGACCAGGTGATTTGGCAGGTCCTGCTGCTCCCAGAGCTGTGCCAGGCTCTGGGGAAGTATCCTGGTCCCAGTTCTAGAGAACACCTTGCTCTGCTTAGCTTCTTCCCAGCACTGTCCCACTAGTGGTGATCTGCCTCTTCTCCCGAGGCCTTCTCCCAGTGCAGTCCTATCTTCTTCCCCCATATCTTGTTATTTTGCATGGGAGTAATTCAATTAATTTCTCTGTTCTCTGTACACTTTCTGGTCTGATTTGGAAAGAAATAACACCTGAGAACCTGAGGCCCTGACCCCAGGGCAGGAAAATCCTGTTAAAATTATGGGAAAGGATCTTAGTGTATAGATCACACTTGGTGCATAAAATCAGAGAATCCCAGAATGTCCCTGAGGGAAGGAATCTTTAAGCCCACCCAGTGCCACCCCCTGGCATAGCCAGGGACACCTTCCACTATCCCAGGCTGCTCCAAGCCCTGCCCAGCCTGGCCTTGGGCACTTCCAGGGATCCAGGGACAGCCCCAGCTGCTCTGGGCACCCTGTGCCAGGGCCTGCCAACCCTCCCAGGGAACAATTCCTTCCCAATATCCCATCTATCCCTGCCCTCTGGCACTGGGAAGCCATTCCCCCTTGTCCTGGCACTCCATCCCTTGGAAATTGTCTCCCTCTATTTCTTGTCGACTCCTTCAGGCACTGCAGTGCCACAATGAGGACACGCCGAAGCTTTTCCTGCCACAATGAGGACACGCCGAAGCTTTTCCTCTCCAGGCTGAACAATCCCAATTCTCCCAGCAGAGCTGCTTCATCCCTCTGATCATCCTGGTGACTCCTCTGTACTCATTCCAACAGGTCCAAGTGCCAGTGTTCTAGCAGGATAGGGTTGGTCTGGATTGTATCTCCAGCTCCTCCAAGCTTCCAGGCCTTGCTCAAAGCAACTGGGTGCTCATCTGCTCATCACTCAGCCAGACATAAAGAAACCTCTATAAATTAATGAGACATCCTTCACTATCTAATGTTAATGTCGATTCCTTCTGGCTATATTTTATTATCCCATTAGTGCCTAAATTACCTGAGAGTGCCCCATCATTTTCGGAGGTCAAGCTTGAGGGCACCATTGCTTATGTTTATTTGGTGAATTCCTGCAGAAATCACCACACATAGGATTCTGTCTCTCATCTGTATCCTTTGACAGTGCTCCCATGAAGTGGATAATGCACTCCATCCCTTTCACATTATGCTAATATTGAGCCAATCCATCAAGTTTATAGGCTTTAAGGAAATTTAGCTTGGATGGTTTCAGTGGCTGGACTAAATCAATGTTCTTAGAACGGCAAAAACCCATGAGCCTGAGGCCTAAAGATGGTGCCAGTTCTGAAATGCTGCTTTCTCAGGGACTGAAAACTTAATTCTCAGCCCAAAATTATTCTTTAACATAACCAACTAAGCCCACCCTCCCAGGGAACAATTCCTTCCCAATATCCCATCTATCCCTGCCCTCTGGCACTGGGAAGCCATTCCCCCTTGTGCTGTCCCTCCATCCCTTAGAAATTGTCTCTCTGTATTTCTTGTTGACTCCTCCAAGCACTGCAAGGCCACAGTGAGGTCACCCCAAAGCTTCTCCTCTCCAGGCTGAACAATCCCAGCTGTGCCAGCCTTTCCTCCCAGCAGAGCTGCTCCATCCCTCTGATCATCCTGGTCTCTCTCCAGCAGGTCACAAAATCTTTTGGTTTAAGAAATGAAAAGCTTTATTCCAATGCCTTCAAAATATTAAGGACACACACTTTATGTCTTTTCTCTAGGTCTGCCTGGAATTAAACTTTCTGCCGTTTTGAATTTCCTCAGGAATTATTCCATAACAATAAGCCCTGGCTGATACTTACGAGCACTTCTGCTTTGCTGCTCAGTCCTTTGCCGTAATCGTCAGTGGCAATGACCTGGAACTTGAAATAGGATCTCCTCATGTTTTTGAAGAGCATGGCAGTTTTGATCAGCCCCGTGTAAGCCTCGATCACAAAGCCTTCCTTGCCATCCTTGATGGGGGGAATGATGAGCCTGTATTGCATGGCACTGTAATTCCCAGTGTCCTTATCATCAGCCTAATGGGGAAAACCAAACAAGCAGAGGCAAACAAGGTAAATATGCATGGAAGGAGTCATTAACCTTGTCCTTTATTTAAAGTTACATCTCGGCCCAGAAAATTTCTGCCGCTCTGACATTTAAAACATTAGATCCCAGAGCACAGATACGGCTGCTACTTTAAATGCTTCATTTAACTTTGCTGCACTCAGTTTTGCTTTTCCAGCAATTTCTTCCTCCTCTGTTGGCATTAAACTACTCCAGAAAAAAGAAAAAAAAAATAAATTAAAAAGTAGAAAAAATATAAGTTGACTTTCAAGTCTGCAACAATACCCAAGAACTGCTTAATTCTGAGAAACTTCTGCTGCCAAATTTTCATTGAAAAGGAAATATCAAAGAAAAAACGATCTCAGCAACTTGTGCACAGATATACCCAAGAACGTCCTTCATCTTAGAAATATTCTGATGGAGCACAGGTATTTTTGGGGCAATCCAGTAACTTTTTATTAAAATAAGGAAGGATTGAGTGGAGTTCTTGCAGTGGTGCACAGGGACCTGCTGGGCTCCCCAGTTCAGGACGCAGAGCTGCCCTGGCACCATTGCTGAATTGGATCAGGATGCAGTGGCATCAAACCAGGCAGCCCCAGGAATTGTTATTCCACCTTCCCTGCTACTGACAACCCTGGGTAGCCCCATCCTGGCCTCTCCAGCCCCATTCCTTATGCTCCTGTTCAACCTGTATCCACAGGGAAGTGTTTCCAAGGACCCAAACAAAGCTTACCCACGCTCCTTCCAGGAATCAGCGAGGTGGGAACTAATTAATGCCTGAGCACTCATTAGTCTTGGGCAAGGCCTCAGCACTTGGGACACTTCAGAATTTATCAGCAGGATTTTATGGAAATATTGGCACTGCTTCTGAGGCCTGGTGCTTAAGCTAATGCTTGAATAAAAACCAGCCTTAACTTTGAAAAGGTGCATGTAAAATCCATGGAAAATCCATACTGTGCCACAGCTTAAGAATGAAACACAATAAGGGTTTGTGTCAGCATGAAGAGTTTGTGGAATCATGGAATAGCCTGAGCTGGAAGGGACTCACAGGGATCACTGATCCAGCCCCTGGCCCTGCCCAGACCCCCCAACAATCCCAGCCTGGGCATCCCTGGCAGCGCTGTCCAAACGCTCCTGGAGCTCTGGCAGCCTCAGGCCCATTCCCTGGGGAGCCTGGGCAGTGCCAGCACCCTCTGGGGGAAGAACCTGTCCCTGATCTCCAGACTGACCCAGCTCCAGCCCTTCCCTGGGGTCCTGTCCCTGGTCACAGAGAGCAGAGCACAGAGCTGTTTATGAGAAACCACAGCTGCTAAAAGAGAATTATCTGTGCAAGGTCATTACGTCTTCAACAGGGGGCCATTAATCATCATTAATTGTTTCCTCACCAGCACTGAACAAGTTCTATATGGTAGAAATTGTCCCTTCTGGTTTTTTTTTTCATTTTCAGATAATTTTTCAGGGATTACCAGCACCAGATGAGACATCCAGGTACTCAAAATTTTGTATGCTGCATGCTACTCCAATTCCTATCAGCCCAGGTTCCCAGACAGAACCATCCAGCACTTAAAGGATAATATCCAGGCTGGTTTAGCTGCAAAGAGCAAACAGGTTTCATTCAGAGCTGTACCAAAGATGAGCTCCTGGAATGACACTGGCTGTTACTCGTCATGGACACTGGCTAAATTCCCACTCTCTCTCAATATTTTGCTTTCTTCTAAATTCACAAGGCTTCATATGGCTCGACTACCAAAAGCATAAATATCAAATGTGTGAAGTTGTTTTTGTTCTCCAGCTCCGCAGTTGTTTTTTTTAGTCTTTTAAAACTGAGATTGCTGCCTGCTGGGTGAGCTCAAACCCCTTTATTAGCTATTTTAGGAAAGATGGGAAGGTTAAAAAGCTTTCTGAAATTTACTCTGTTTTGTCAGAAAAATAAAGATATCAGTGGGCTTTTCCAGAGTATTCCAGCTGGCTCAGGAAAATACAACCCCATGACATCGCAGAGCCAGCAGATGGGAGCTTGACAGGTGGAGAGTCAGCAAAGTTGTTGGCTTTCCACATAAATAAATTGCTGAAGGAAGAAATGAATGTGGAAACCTGCTACGTCATAGAATCATGGAATTTTTAAGGCTCAAAAATACCTCCAAGATCACCCAATCCAACCTTTGATCATCATCTTGGCCATTTAAATGACATTGTGCAGTGCCACATCCACTCATTCCTTGAGCCCTTCCAGGGCTGCTGGCTCCACCATTCCCTGGGCAGCCCCCTTTCCAATGGCCTGCCACTCTTTCATGAAGAAATATTTCCTAATATCCAACCTGAACTCAAGGAAGCAGCTGCAGAGAAAGACCGCCTTGATGTTTGAATGGTGAGAAACAAAGACAAAAATTAAAGCAGCACCTCGGCTGTGCCTGGAGTGCCAGGACACAGGGAATGGCTTCCCAGTGCCAGAGGGCAGGGATGGATGGGATATTGGGAAGGAATTGTTCCCTGGGAGGGTGTCCTTCCAACCCAAACCATCTTGGGATTCCAGGATAAATTCAGCTCATACAACACAGCTCAAGATAAAGCCATGACCAATCCAGAAAAGTCCTGCCTGGCCGACCCCTCTAGTTTATCCACATGTTGATATGCTTTGCATGTTGATATGCTTTGCATGTTGATAATGGAGCTGGGGGGGGAAAGAAAAACAAAATTCCTGTAACCCCACATGGCACTTGAGGGACCCAGCAGCAGCCGCAGGAGCAATGTCTGATCCAGCTCCTTTGGCGTCATCCGTGAGTGAGCCAAGTTTTCCGTTTTCCACTGAGTGCCCAGTGAAGTCCAAAGGCTCCCTAGAGGTGCCCTGGAGAGGAGCATGACGCCCTTCCAATAAAAAGCCAATTTCTTTGTTAAAATGGATTTATGAGGTTGGTTCAGCTGGGTCAGAAGCCCATCATATTTTTAATATTGGCAAATTCTCTCTCAATAAAAGCTACGGCTTTTAATAGTCGCTGCTTTCAATGACACCAGAAATCAATTTCACCTTCAGCATTTCACGCCTGGAGACGTGTGTGACTAAAAACAAACAAAATTTGGATCCAAATTAAGGTATTGATGCTGCAGGCACAGGCATTAAATGAAGTCAGGCCTTCTGCACAAAGCCCAGGGCACTGGAGCTCAGTGCTAATGAGATGTTTAAGTCTTGCAGCTGAGTTTAAGGCATTAAACTCCAGCGAAAGAGGCCTTTTGACATTTGAAGCTCACAGCTTGTAAAATCCTGCAGAGTTCAGGTGCCTCGAGCTGGTGGATAGGCTCTGAGTTAATTGTCACCAGTTCTGAGAGCTCAGTGCCACCCCAGAGCCATCAGCAGCCTCAGCATCATGACAGTTCAGGCTCTTTCCACATGCACCCAGAGATGAGCAAACAGGTGCCAAACATCCTGGAAAAATGATCAGATTCCAGCTTCAAGTATCTGAACTTGTTTGCATTGCCCCCTTTCTCTGCTCTTTGGATCAAACCTAAGGACACTTGGCTTGGCAGGACCAGCAGAGAGAGCTTGTGAGCTGCTCCCAGGAACATCACAAACTTCTCTAATACAGAGGAAGGATGTTTGCTACTCCTGTAATTTTTCCTGAAGGTAAATATTTTTGACACTTCATTAGGAAGAGATCTATGACATTTCAAGAGTTGCATTATGACTGCCAAAGAAGAGAAAGAACTGCACTTAATCTTAATATTCCAGCAGCATATCTGCCTTTTGTTCTGTGCAAGAAATACAGATGTCTCCTATATCCTGCTGTGATTGAGGGCTGATAAATATGGATGATCTCAGGAATTACCAGGCCAAATTCCAGCCTCCTGTGATTTAGTGTAGGTGTGCCCACACAAAGGGATTTGGATCACCGCTGTCTCCAGCCCTTTCCCAGCCCCTCCCATGGAGGAGGATGAGGCAGAAATCCTGGGGTGCTCCCTAATCCCAGCACAAAAGCACTGAGGATATTTTTACTCAGAGGGAGGTGAGGCCCTGGCACAGGGTGCCCAGAGCAGCTGTGGCTGCCCCTGGATCACTGGAAATCTCCAAGGCCAGGTTGGACTTAGGGGCTTGGAGCAGCCTGGGATAGTGGAAGGTGTCCCTGCCCACCTGGCAATGGGTGGACTTTAAAGTCCCTTCCAACCCAAACCATTCCTTTCTCTCTGTGATCTACCCTTTCTTTTTCTCTCCTTTGTAAGAAGGTCTAACAAATGATACCTTTAAAGCATAAATTAATTTACCTCTGACTCCATGTGACTGCACAAGCACAGCTTGATGGCAGGACACCCAGAGAGGCTGGTAAACCCCACTCGGTGTGACAGCAGCACTCTGACCCTGTCACCAAAAATCACCAGTGGCATGTTTGGGATGAGCACAAAAATCATCAGTGACTGTAACTCCTGAAGCTGCTGCATAATCATTGATGATCCCAGTTTTTAGCATCATCAGCCTGAGCTAAATCCAGATTTGCTGCTCAGAGTGAAATGCAATTGTTAATTTGAAATATTTTCCACCTCCCTCACAGGGTCACCCTTAACCACAAGCCTGAGGCTGTTAAAAGGGCATGGAAAATGGCAGGATTGGGATTGAGCTGCTGAGGGGTTTTTTTCCCTCTTCCTAGCAGATGGCAGCTTCAATGTTCCCAATTAGTGGCTGGCATATAAAGCAGCTTTTAGAACTAGGCTGTTTTTGCCGATAGGAATTTCCAGATTGTTGCAGATTTTCAGTTCTGACAGCACAGCTGCCACTGGCCTGTTTTCGGGAGGTTTCACTGGATGTTCTACAGACACACAGGCCTGGAAATTTGGGGTAGCTGTTGCAATTTTCCTTCATTTCGTGTATTTCTTCACTTGCATTCTCTTTTACACTGTCATCTGGCTCGAGCCCTTTGGAGCTCCTTCTCCTCACCTTGGTTTGACACTGGCTGCCTCAGGAGTTTGTAGCCTCAATTTTTTTTAA